ATGTTACTTAGTTGGGTCATGAAATATCTGCAAGCAGACAACCAAGCTCAGAGTTCCCCAAGGACCCCACAGTCCTCCTCCTCCTCCTCCTCCTCCTCCTCCTCCTCCTCCTCCTCTTTGCAAACCCTTCTAGCACTGATGATGTTACCTGGTTGTGCATTGAAACATCTGCACGAAAACAACCAAGCTGAGAGAGCACCAAGGGCCCCACAGTCGTCCTCCTCCCCCTCCCCTCTCCCCCTCCTCAACTCCACACCCTTCTGGCTCTGATGATGCTAGTTTGGTAATGAAACACCTGCGAGAAAACAACCAAACTCAGATAGCACCAAGGATATCACAGTCAAAAACATTACCCAAACCTCAGTCAACCTGGATATCATACCAGCATCAGAGATAGATTCGGTGGAGCAATATGCAATTATAGTTTCTCCTTTACCCCTTCCCGTTCCAACTCCAAAGAATGCTTTATCTTTCCTTTCAGCCGCAAATCTTGGCTTGTAGGGAGGCCTCCCAATCAAAGAACGCTTCATCAGCTGGATCAATGCCAAATCTTGCCACCACCCTCCCAATCTCAGGGCAGAAGGACAGAGGAACTGATAACATTATGTACCAATTTTCTGAACTGACTACCATTCGGGGTGTGTGGTTGTCTCCTCCTCGGTCCTCGGCCCCTGGCTGTCTGGGAGGCATCTCATTGGGGATTCAGGATCGGTGGTCTTCTCCGAGTTTTTTTTTTTTAAATTACGGGAATTCCCCTCTCGGTTTTCCATCCCCCTTTCCTGGCTCTCCCTCCTCCCAACTCTTTTTTTTTTCCTCCTCCCCCCCGTAGAGTCGATTAAACTTTTCAGGACTGGAGCATTGAAGGGACTCATGTGATCGGTAAGCATGGAAACCTGTAAAGAGGCCCCTCTGGCTGGGACACAACTGTGGCCAAACACAATTGGGAAACCGGGAAGCCTCTGAATGGACTCAACAAGGCAAACACACACATGGGCAAACTCCCCTTGGAAGGAGGGGGAGTGGGAGGGGTGGGTGGGGGGTCAAAGCAGAGATGTGGGAGCTGAAAGCCATCTCCTCCTCCTCCT